TATAATATTTGTTTTATTAATGTTTAGGATATCAAAGTTACTTTATAATTATTTTATCACTATGTTATGAATGAATCCAAGTGTATATTATTTATTTTTACCATTAAAGTATGTTTTATGTTTTATGTTCTAGGTATTTATTTTACTTGTATTATACATTATTTTATGTACATAAGATTATATGTAGAGCTTGGTATAAATTGTTTTTTCATTTTTATTATATTTTAGAATAAATATTATGTTCTATGTTTAATATAATAATTAGAAAATATTTATATATTTATAAATTAAAATAAAGTTAAAAATAGTCTTAAAATTGTTTTTAGTCCATATGTGTATTTATATATATATATATATATATATATATATATATATATATAAATGCTTCAATGTATAATTTTTATTTCATTTAAAAGCCTCATTAGCATAACTTAACTGATTACATAATTGGATTAAGGGCAATATTTATGTATTTTAAAATATTAAGAAGGGACAGTCTTAAGACAACTAGATGTCTTTTTCCGATATTTTAAAATAAATAAATATCCCACTAGAAAAACCTAAAAAAATTGATTGCATTTAAAATTAATTAATTTTGAAGGGAAAAATGAAATATTCACTATTTTAAACTTGTCGAGACAATTCGTCTAATTTTATTAGGGATTTAGTCTCAGTATTTTTAAATAATTAAATTCCCTTATCTTTTCTAATAATATAATCATGATTAATGGGTTTAATTTATTTCTTTGGTAGAATAAAAATGATTTTAATATTGGATTCTTAGGAAAAATTATTATATTACTTTTATTTCAGTTGGAACAAGAAATATCCGTCCTAAAGTATTTTAGGGAGTATTTTCTCTTCAATTGAAAATATGAGAATATTTTTATTTTTCCTTAGAATTTTTGTATGGTTGAATTCGGAATAATGAAATCGTAATTTAAATATGTATTCGAACTCTTAGATTTCTACTATTTAGAGACAATATATAATCGATGGGTACCAATTTTGGGCATTGTGGGGGTGATTATCCTTCCCCACACGTAATCGACCCCCGAACCCTTTTTATTACTAAAAAATTGAATTTCTAGTTACACGTAGATCAGTGCATCTTTTAAAATGACATTTTTCTTTAAAACAAACTTTTTTAAAAGAAGATTTTTGGGTATTCGGCCTACCTAATCCAAAAGATCGATGGCGACTCCGAAACATTTCTTTTACAAAATCGAGTTTTCACAAAATGAGTCGAGACTCGTCGTATCGCCGAAAATCGGTTTCGATAGCTTGGCGACTCTGCTGGGAACTTAGAGGGTCAAGCCTTAAATCAATTATATATTGTCTCTATAATTAGGAATTGAGAATTCGATTTTATTTAATTTATGATTCCTTTGATTCCTTTCAATCGTTATTTAATTTTATATCTTTATATACTGTGTGTATTTGATTGATTTTCAGATGTTAAAGTCTCAGATTCGCTTTAGTTCATTTTTGTGTGGTTGTTTGTCAAAGGTTTGATAATTTCTCCTCACACATGACACTTGCATTGCATAACATAAGCTCTATACCCGAGCTCTTCCTTTTAAGTGGGAGTGAAAGCGACGTCTTCGTGAGAATTTATTCTCCGTGTCAGACCTAGCAATTAGCTTCTGAGGTTCATATGTCTTATGTCTTCGTGAGGATTTATTCTCCGTGTTAGGCATAGGGAAATGTGCCCCCTCGAATTGAACTCGATCCGCTTAAGCCTATAATGTGTGAGGATTGAGGGTCTGGCCCGCCCAAGGGGGCACCGACAAGGACAATTCGAGTACCTTTACTCTTAGAACCGAAACTCTACATGTAATAAACCGTAGAAACCCACCCGATCTAAGACCAGACCGAAACTCTGTCCATTAGTACCCAAATAAGTGTACACAAAGGAGAAATGAACTCTAACCTTTATTTTTTAAAATAATTATTTTTTATTTATTTTTATAAATGCATGTGAATTAGAAAATTATACAGTTTAAGGTTTATCTTATCTTAAGTATATGGGTTAGAAAACATGTTTGAGTAGCTATCATGATGGGTAGGTATTTTTCCAAAATTTTATTAACTCATTACTTGTACTAACTCATTTTTTTCTTTTATTTTTGCTATTTGTATTGCATAATTCAAGATTGAGGGTGTTGATCTTTAGTTAATCGTCAAATTGGAAAGCTTTCAGTAATGGAAAAAAGTATTTGAGTCAAATTGTTCAAAACTCTGAGGTACGACAATGGTCTGAAGCACTGCAAAGACTTATTGGGTTATGCTCCTGTTTCTCTTAAAAGAAATGACATCCAAGACTTATGAGACATTTGGGAAAAATGGGAGTCAAGCAAGAAACTGCAGTTTTATCAGTGTTATGGGGACATTTCTTATCTGTTGTATGTCGACATAGATGATGAGCTGCTCCGAGCCTTGATTCAATTTTGGAATCCAGGATACAATTGTTTCACTTTTAATCAAGAAGATATGGTTCCTACCATCGAAGAATATATTGCCTTGTTGCACATAGAAGAGGCTCAAGAGAATCAGATTTATTCCAAGTTCATCAAAACTCAACCCTTCAGAATCAAATTAGCAAAAATTGCAGGAGTGCGCGAGGAATGAGTGGTTGCTCGTACTAAACAAAAAGGTGAAAGCGAAGGTGTTTCTTAGACTGCTATTAAAGAAATCATTCAAATTTATCTTGACGAGAAGATACGATTTAATCTCTTTGCACTGGGTATTTATGGCTTATTCATCTTCCCGAAGGCATTGGGATATATTGAGGCTGCAGTTGTGGATTTATTTGAATAGTTTCCAAAAAAGATCAACCCTGCTCCTATGATTTTAGTAGAGACCTTCCGATCCTTGAATGCTTGTCGAAGGCTTAGAGGTGGTCGATTTTCAGGATGTGCACAACTATTATATGTCCGGATACGTAGTCATTTTTGGAAAATTGAAAAGATTTCATATCATCGGTTTAGTACCAGCTACTCGCCTTTGAGAGAATTCCTTGAGCAAGATTGACCAAAAGGAGTAACTAAAGATATGTGGATAGATGCCTTTAGAAATATGCAAGACAAAGACATCGTTTGGCTCGCTCCTTGGCAAATACAAAGTGAGCTCCTCTATAAATATGGTGACTATAATTGGGTGATGCTACATGGTTTATGGGGGAGGAATTGGGTACGCACCCCTTTTGGTTTTGAGGCAATATGATGGCCGTCAATTTGTCCTAGTCGCTGCTAGATTACACTCATCTGAGTTCGAGTTTCACGAAAACAATTATAAGAAAAACATCCTTGAGGCAGTTAGAGCATGGAAGAAGACTTTCCGTACTAGAGCTGAGGCATACAAGGTGATGTTGACGCCAGATTATGATGAGTGGAGGTATGTTAGAAAGAATGAAAATATTCCTCTACCTGACCAAAAATGAGGATGTCCATATGGAGGAAATAATTAAGATAGTCCCATCAGAGGTAGAGATCTTGAGAGTAGAGTTCAAAGCCGAGAAAGAAGGTTGGTCGAAAGAACTGGAACAGATGCGATGAGAGAAATACATGTTGAGTATTGATGAAGACTTTCATGCTGCACAATTTGTAATGGTAAAAGTGAGAAAAGAAAAAATAGAATCGGATTTAAAAGATCTAAAGAAGGATTACTACAAGCTGTAAAAATCTAGGTCCACAGTTGGGTCAAGCAGAGCGTCAGTATAATTAACCAAAGAGTTAAACGCAGAGAAAAAATTGAGTCAAAAATTTAAAGGCAAGAAACGATCGTCTACTCAAGTGCTTAGAGAAAGGGAAGCAAAAAATAGAAGAGCTTGAGCTTGATAAGAGGGAGCGGATCATAAAATATAAAACTGAGAGCCGCGAAGCTATGGAAGAATTAAAAAGGGAAAAAGATCGTGTCAAAGAACTGGAAGACGAAAAGAATAGCATTCTCAAGGGGTTCGAGGCTGAGAAGACCATCATGTTCAGAGGATTTGAACCCGAAATGAATAACATGCTTGCCGAACTTGATGTTAGAGGACAAAGAATCGAAGAGTTTGATACTGAAAGGAAGAGATGAGAATTAGAAAAGCAACACTTCAATACTACGCTTGAAGCAAGGCAAGAAATAACCAAAGGCTGGATAAAAAGGTGTGGAAACAAAAATACAGAAGTACAGAGTCTCAATCGAAGGATGCAGGAAACACATACAAGACTTGAAATGGATCTGGCTCAGTGTTGGGCTAAAAACACAGAATTCAGTGATTACATCCTACAACTTGAAGAATCCTTGTTCTGAGAAAATGTTCTCCGGGGACCAAGTGATCTTCAGGAAAGTCTTGAAGAGAATGCCTTGCTGCTAAAGTGAGTTCAACATCTGGAAAGTGCACTGCATAGTTGTCAAGTACGAATTAATAAGTTGGAGTGAAATCTTCAAGGAACTACTGAACAGTGGAAAAAGTCAAATGATTTCTATGAAGAACAAAATGCAGCCAGAAGCAACATGGTAGCCGAGGCCATAATACAGATGAGTGAAGTTGACAGATACATTGGAGAACTAGTTGTCGAATCAAAGGTCATCGAGTACCATATCAATCCAGCTTCTAAGTGTGGGAAGAAGATACTGTGGCCGATTAGTGAAATTATGGTGCTTAATAGAAGAGCTAGGTTGTATCTGTGAACTATTATATAATGAAACTTTTGTTTCAATGGAAGTTAGACTAAGCCATATCTGTAGAAATGAACTATTATGTAATGAAAACTTTTTGTTATAATGGAAGTTGTTATATGCAATTAACTTTTTGGGATCAATTCCTCTTGCATACATTCATTATTCATTGTATTTATTTATGTATGAATTTTAAATATCTTGCATTAAGACATGCATTCATTAATTAAAAACACCAAAATAATACAATAAGGTTTCCAATTGCAGTTACCTTGTCCCCTGTTAGCAACAAAGAAACACAACATCCTTACTATAATAGGAACGTGAGTAAGAAGATGGATGACAAATTGGACCGTCTCAAGCAAGAGCAGAAAGTCATGCAGGCAGAAATGAGAAGTAAATTTGAAAAGATTGAGGCCGACATTGCCAGTTCACAACTGAATATGCTGCATAAATTAGAGGACCTATTCAATAAGCATGTTGAAAAGAGTCATGCTGGAAATCCCGTCTCCTCTAAACAAGATTCCATACCCCCTCCAGGGATCACAATAGAATCTGGTCCTCCTCCTGGTTTCACACCTATACATATCTCTGCTCGCTTTTTGGTACCTCAAGAAGCTTGATCTCATGCATATGTCAGCAATGAGAATGAACAACACTAAACGGGATCCATATTCCCAAACAACTATCAGCATGTCCCAAATGTAAGGCTAGGATAATTTAATACTGAGCACCTAATCCCAGATTTGAATGAGTTAGCCGAAAAGGAGAAAGCCAATAAAGAAATAACTCAACAATTGAAGAATTTAGAAGAAAGGGTAAAATCGGTAGAAGTGGTTGAACCATTCTATGGGTCTGATGCCAGAGAGCTGAGTTTGGTCCCAGACTTGATCATCCCTATGAAGTTCAAGGTTCCTGAATTTGAAAAATACGATGGAACCATAAGCCCTTCATCTCATATCACCATGTTTTACCGAAGGATGACCGGTCATGTGCAAGATGAAAAGCTATTGATTCACTGTTTCAAGACAGTCTGAAAGGATCTGCAACCAAGTGGTACAATCAATTAACTAGGGCTCACATTAAATCATGGATAGACTTGGCAAAGGCATTTCTAGAATAGTATCATCATGTCATAGATATGGTTCCTGATTGTTGGACTCTTCATAATATGGAAAAGAGAAATAATGAGACTTTTCGACAATATGCCAAGAGATAACGTGACGTAGCCGCACATGTCCAACCCCCTTTACTCAAAAAGAAGCTGCTGTAATTTTTGTCAACACCTTGAAGGCTTCGTACTTAGGGCATTTGCTTGGAAATACCACAAAAACTTTTCTGATTTGGTTATCTCGGGGGAGCTCATTGAGAACGCTATAAAAAGTGGCAAGATCGAGGTAGTGGATGGGTCCAGTTCGAAAAAACCAGTATACTGGAAAAAAGAAAATGAGGTTAATAATACAAGTGTCTACAACAAAAATACTTCAAAAAATGTCACAATAACCAAACCAATAGCTGAAAGGAATGACACAAACATCACCATAAATGATTCTAGTGGACCTTGGAAAGAGAATAAGAGAATGTCCTTCACACCACTACCCGTACCATACTCTAAGATATACACCTCGTTATTAAAGGCGGATGTGGTGCGCCCCTATCGTTTGAATCCTCTGCAATTTCCGTACCCTCATTGGTATGACATAAATACATATTGTGATTACTACGATGGAATTGCTGGTCACTCTATTGAGAACTGTTTGGCCTTCAAAAAGGTTATACAAAATCTGATTAATACTAGGGGATTGCAATTTGACTCACCAGATGTATCGACACACCCACTACCGAATCATGGAGGTAAAGGTGTGGATGCAGTCCATGAGGATAATAGGAGAAAAGTGAAGACTGTTGTTGATGAAATCAAATCTCCTTTCAGTTGGGTATTCCAACAACTTTATCAGGCCGATATGATTCGACAAGATCCTAAGCCAAAGCTCCATGAATGTGGAAATTATTGTGAATATCACCAAGAAGAAGGACACATAATTCAACTTTACCCTGAATTTAGGGGGTTACTACAAAAGTTGATGGACAACAAGGAAATAGAATTCTTTGAGAAAGATGAGAAAAAAAGAGAAGAAGATGTTTGCACAACAGAAAATTCCAAGCCAATGCATAGAACAATCAAGCCTGTGGTCATCACTGTTATACCATCTGCAATGAATTCCGTGTCAGTGAAGCCAAAAGTTGTTATCACGACCCCTTCACCATTTCTGTTCAAAGATACCCGTAAGGTGCCTTGGAATTACACTACAAATGTTTAAATGATAAGGGAATCTGGTTCGCTAGAGGAAACAAAAGTAGCTGAAGAAAACAATAAAACACCAGGAAGCAGCTTGATGAATGAAATAGTGAGTGAAGTAGGCTACTTTACAAAAAGTGGGAGGTGCTACTCTCCCGAAACATCAAAAGAAATAGACAACGTGAAAGCAAAAGGAAAGGCTACAGCGGTACCACAAAAGATATTTGATGACGAGCCCCCACCACTAATTAATGACCCGGTAATTAAAGCACAAACACAAGAATTCTTGAAATTCTTAATACATAGTGATTACAGTGTAGTAGATCAGCTACACAAGCAACAAGCACGGATTTTGATTCTGGATCTGTTAATAAATTCATATATACATCGGAATGCTCTACTTAGAGTGCTCAATCAAACATTTGTTCCTGAGGATATAACAGTGAACAAGTTGGATCAAATTGTGGGGCATATAGCTGCGGACAATTACATAACTTTCACTGATGATGAAATTCCTGATGGTGGAATGAGATCGGTAAAATCCCTCAATATCACAACTTACTGCCATGATCATGTCTTACTAGGTGTTTTGATTTACAATGAGTCAACTCTCAATGTTATGCCTATGACCATATTACGAAGATTACCAGTGGACAGCTCACATATGAGGGCCTACCAAAATGTTGTTAGAGCCTTTGATAGAACCCTACGGGATGTGCTTGGAAAGATTGAGGTACCACTGTTGATTGGACCAACTGTCTACAATATTGATTTTGTGGTAATGGACATCAACCCATCATATAACTGCTTGCTTGGGAGACCATGGATTCATTTTGCAGGGGCAGTCCCTTCGTCCTTACATCAAAAATTGAAATTTGTGATAGATGGCCAGTTGATCAGTATTGGGGCAGAGGAAGAGATCATTGCTTCCCTGACGACTGACACCCCATACGTTGAGACCAATGAGAATGCCCTAGAGTGTTCCTTCAGAGCCTTAGAATTTGTCAATACTACTTTCATTGTTGAAGTAAACAAGATTCCTCGTCCTCGTTTATCTGATTGCACTAAGATGACTGTGCGAGAGACTCTAGGAAAAGGAGCTAAAATTGGAAAGGGTCTCGATAGATTGTTGCAGGGGACTTTACATCCCAAATTTGTCATGATGAAGAGAGACCGCTTTGGGCTGGGATTTGAGCCTGATTTTCAGCAAAGAAAGAAAGAATTAAAGAAGAGATGTGAAGTAAGAAGAGCTAGACTTAAAGAATAGAACATTCCATGGGATCATATGTATTTCTCTCCCCTAAAGAGCTCATTCAAGTTTGGAGGAGTGTACGATATGGAGCAACAGTTAGCTAGAGCAATTGATGAAGGAGAGAAGATGAAAGACAAAGACTTGTTTGACGAAGCCATGGAAGGTTTGATCATCAACATGATAACTGGGGACAACAAAGCGGGAAAATATTTGGCTAAAATCCGTCCTTGTTTCCTAGGAGAAACACTGAAAAATTGGAATGTAGAGGATCTCCATGTAGTGTTTAAGATTAATTCAGAGTAACACCCAGAACTAATCCTTATACTTGTGCCCGCGAGTATTAAGGAATCTTTTTGTAAGGGCATCTATGTTAACTCTACTTGCTTTCAATGAAAGACATATTTTTTGTTTCTCAAATGGCCATTGTTATTTACATTTTCATTCTTCATTCTTTACATTCATTTCATAAATTTTCTCTCTTCCCAAATATATATTCGATTCAATTTTTCCCTTTGTAGGTGTCATAATATCAATAGCATAAATGTTTCTGAATTTAATACTGAGATAAATTTGGAGCGGCCCATATGTCTGGAAGAAATCAATGAGTGTTAGGATGAGGTAGAATGTGATGTTCCTAACAAACTATTAAGACTGGTAGAAAATGAGGACAAACAGATCTTACCTCACCAGGAGGAGACTGAGATTATAAACTTGGGAACTGATGATGAAAAAAGAGAAGTAAAGATCGACAATGCACTTTCAGTTGAAATAAGACGAGACCTAATAGATCTACTCTGAGAATTCAAAGACATCTTTGTGTGGTCCTACCAAGATATGCCAGGGTTGAGTACAAACATAGTGGTGCACAAGCTTTCGATAAAGCCTGAGTGTAAACCAGTTCAACAAAAGCTCAGAAGAATAAGGCCAGAAATGTTGTTAAAAATTAAAGAGGAAGTGATGAAACAGATTGATGCAGGGTTTCTTCAGGTAGTAAAGTATCCAGAATGGGTCGCTAACATAGTCCCAATGCCAAAGAAAAATGGAAAAGTCTGCATGTGCGTGGATTATAGAAATCTAAACAGAGCAAGCCCAAAGGACTATTTTCCGTTGTCTCATATAGATACTCTAGTGGATAACAATGCTGGGTATTCATGGTTTTTTTTATGGATGGCTTCACTGGCTATAACCAAATCAAAATGAATACTGAAGACATGGAAAAAACCACCTTTGTGACTATATGGGACACATTTTTCTATAAAGTGATGCCATTTGGTTTGAAAAACACTGGGGTGACTTACCAAAGAGCTATGGTGACTCTTTTCCATGACATGATGCACAAAGAGATTGAAGTGTATGTGGATGACATGATTTCTAAATCCAAGACTGAAGAAGAACACATTCAAAACTTGAGGAAGCTTTTCCAAAGATTGAGAAAATATCAATTGAAACTCAATCCAACTAAATGTACCTTCGGGGTAATGTCAGGGAAACTATTGGGCTTCGTGGTTAGTCAAAGAGGAATTGAGATCGATCCGGACAAAGTAAAGGACATTCAAGATCTTTTGCCACCTCATACATAAAAAGAAGTTTGAGGTTTCCTGGGAAGGTTAAATTATATATCTCGATTCATTTCGTAATTAACTGAGAAATACGACCTAATTTTCAAATTGCTTTGAAAGAATAACCCCGAAGTTTGGAATGACGAGTGCCAAAAAACTTTTAAGATAATCAAGAAATATTTATCCAATGCTCCAATTCTGGTATCACCAGTCCCTGGTAGACCATTAATCCTTTACCTAACGGTCTTTGAGAATTCGATGGGGTGTTGCTGGGGCAGCATGACGAATCTGGAAGGAAAGAGAGAGCCATTTATTATCTGAGCAAAAAGTTCACCGATTGCGAGATTAGATACCCGCCAATTCAAAATCTATGTTGTGCTTTAGTATGGGCTACCCGGAGGCTCAGGCAATACATGATGTACCATACTACTTGGTTGATATCTAAACTTGACCATTGAAATATTTGATGGAATCACCATCTCTAACTGGTAGATTGACTAGGTGGTAGATGTTGTTATCAGAATTTGACATTGTGTATGTAAACCAAAAAGCAATCAAAGGGAGTGCTATAGCGGATTTCCTTGCAAGTCGTGCCTTGGATGATTATGAGTCCTTAAACTTTAATTTCCCGATGAAAATCTGATGTGTGTAACAACCGAGGATGAAAAAAATTTCAGATGATAAGTCTTGGAGGTTGTATTTTGATGGGGCATCCAATGCTTTAGGGCGAGGAATTGGAGTGGTACTGATTTCCCCAGAAAATGTCTATTATCCTTTTACAAGCATATTGGAGTTCTTTTGCACCAATAATATGGCAGAATATGAGCCATGGAAAGAAAAATTAAAGTGCTCAAAGTATATGGAGATTCCTCACTGGTGGTGTACCAATTGCGAGGAGAATGAGAGGCAAAGGATCCGAAATTAGTGGAATACAAAAGATTGATCCTTGAATTGGTAAAAGAATTTGAAGATGTAACTTTCAATTATCTCTCTAGAGAAGATAACCAAATGGCAGATGATTTGGCCACACTGGCTGTAATGTTTCAAGCAAGTAGAAAAGATGACATGATGCCAATTAAAATGCAAATATATAAAACCCCGACACACTGTTATAGCCTAGAAGAAGAGGTAGATAGTCGTCCATGGTATTGTGACATCTTGCAATACATCAAGCATCAAACTTACCCATAACAGGCGTCTGAGATTGATAAAAAGACAATAAGGAGAATGGTTGCTAGATATATCTTGGATGGAGAAGTTTTGTATAGAAAGGGTAGTGATCAAGTTTTGATGAGATGCGTGGATGCCCAAGAAGCAAGAAGTATACTTGAAGAGGTACATGAAGGGATATGTGGAACACATGCAAATGGGTTTTCTATGGCCAGGAAGATCATGAGATAAGCATACTATTGGGCTACTATGCATTCAGACTGCGTTGATTATGCAAGAAGATGTCACAAATGTCAAATCTATGGAGATAAGATCCATACACCTCCGTCACCTTTGCACATGATAACTGTACCATGGCCGTTTTCTATGTGGGGCATGGATGTCATTGGGGCAATTACACCAAAGGCTTCGAATAAACATCGCTTCATACTTGTGGTAATTGATTAATTCACTAAGTGGGTTGAGGCCACCTCGTATGCCAATATCACGAGATCGAAAGTTTGCAAATTCATAAAAAAAAGATAATTTGTCGGTATGGGTTGCCAGAAAGAATCATCACAGATAACGTCACCAATCTAAATAACAAAATGATGGTAGAACTTTGTGCACAATTCAAGATAAAACATTCTAATTCAGTGACCTACCGTCCAAATATGAATGGAGCAGTGTAAGCAGAAAATAAAAATATTAAGAGGATCATTACAAAGACCACTGATACTTACAGAGATTGGTACGACAAATTAGCCTTTGCTTTGTATGCATATTGAACTATAGTGCGAATATCACACCCTAATTTGTGGGATTAAAACTTTTTAGTTGAATATGGGGTTTAATGTATCAATCAAATTTTGTATTATCCTCAACCACCCCATCCTAGTCTACACCTCAACCTTCACAAACCATATTTTGTAGTATCTATTTCAATAATTATAGGAAAATGAATAACCACAAGTGGGAAAAGTTATTCAACCAGTGCAATTATTATTATTATTTTTATAATATGTATAATAAAGAACAACAAGTGGCTAAGAGCTATCCCGAATTGTGCTTTCCTTCTTAACCTGCGCCACCAAAACGCACCCGCCTACACCCTCTTATAATTCTGCACTCCGATGGTGTGCATGGAGATAATCTACTCATCACCCAATTCCCGCGACTTGCTTCGTTCTTCTACCACTGCTTCAGGATCCACCATGTCGGTTCACCCCTTCAAAATCATCCCTCTCTAGCATCCCGACACGACGTCGTGTGGTAGCCAGGTGGCTTCGACAATTATTCTTCTTCGTCTTTGTTTTGGTCGAACTCCTTATTTTCTGGAGTTCGGGGGAAGATTAAACGGATGGCGCTTATTGATTAGGTCAAGATGTTTCTTCTTTGTTATCGTTGGATTCAGACGTACAAATGGCGGGAGTATTTCCAGGTTGATCTCATGGAAAGTACCACGTATCATGCTTGTTCCTCAGGCAATATCAAAGCCGGCGAACCCATTCACACGAACAAGCGCGCCAGAGCTGTTGAGATTTTCTGTAACAAGTAGGTGGTAGATGAAGTACCATGGAAATCAGAACTACAACTACAAAAAAAACATCAACTTCTTCTTCATTAACAGCTGCTTCTGTTGTTGGCCTTAACTCTCTTGAATCTGCCATTTCCAAGAAAGGCAATGATGCGTAAAAAAAAGAAATGGTTGAAAGTTGCGTGGGAAATGAAACTTGAAATTGAGTTGAATTTGTAATAAATCACGTGGGTGGTAGATAATGAAAAGGAAGATGGGAAAACCACAATTTCAGTCATCCATTTTTGGTAATGTTTTGAACTTGTCCTGTAGTTATGATGTAGTATTGATCAAGCCATGATAATTTAAGTTAATTCAATTTAGTCCCTAATTTTAGTAATTAGATATTATATTGGCTCCACAAGTTTTTAGATTTACCAATTGTGTCCTGAAATTATTATTATTTAGATTCTAATAAATTATTTTTATGGCGAGGAAAATATTTGGAATCGATTTTGTATATTTGATGGTCTGGGTACGTGAGAGAAAAATTGAAAACTCGAAATCAAATATAATGAGTTCAGATTTGAGAAAAATGAGGTTCTGGTAGTGTATTATATTATACCTGAAAAAGGCATATTTTGGATTCTCTTCGACGTCTTGGGTCCTAATCCGAAGTTCGTTTTGCCAAATTCGCACCCAATAAGTCATTTTCCATATTTTACCTTCAGATTCAAGTTAGATTTACAATTAAGTTCATTTTTGACGTAAATTTGGTTACTTTGTATCCG